TTTTATTTAAAGCAACTAAATGGCCATATATATGCTTCAATAAACAGAAGGGTTATTTTATGTGGGTTTTAAGGCCTTCCAGCTCCAGAGATTTTCCATCTTTAACTCTGCCTGGGGTGTACTTCTCTAGTCGGAGTTGGTGCACAATTTGGGAGTCCTCCTGGACTCATGGCTCCTGTGCAAAGACTAGGTGGCACCCATGGCTAGGCGAGCCTTTGCACAGGTTCATCTTGTGTACCAATTGTGCCTGTTCCTAGATCAAGAGGCTTTGCTTACAGTGGCTTAGTCACCTCCCATTCGGATTACTGCAATGCAGTCTACATGGAGCTGCCCTTGAAGAGCATTTGGAAGCTGCAGCTAGTTCAGAATGCAGTGGCAAGGGCAGTTTTTGGCATCCCTCCTTACATTCATATAACACCACTCATCTGTGAGCTGCACTGGCTCCCAGTAGGCTTCAGGTGTGATTCAAAGTGCTGGTTATCACCTATAAAGCCCTACATGGCATAGGACCAGTCCATTTGCAGAACTACCTGCTCCCAGTTGTCTCTGCCCACCCCACCAGGTCTAGCAGGGAGGGCACGCATCAGATCTCTTCCATTAAACTACCCAGCGTCATCTCTTGATGGCTTTGCATGCTCTGTGGAATGGTATCTTCCTGGAGATCCAGATAACCCTGACCCTGTTAGCTTTTTGAAAGGCTTTAAAACCTGGCTGGTCCCCTTGGCATTTGGACCAGGAGGTTAGGCAAGCTGTGCTGATGATGTGTTCTTTTTGACTTGGGGTTTTTTGTTTTAACATTGGACATCATGGGTTATATCTTCTTGTTGTGGTTTTAATCTTCGTACACTGTCCAGAGTCATTCTTGTGAGATGGGTGACTATATAAATAATTTAAATAAATAATAAATATATTTACTACTCTTTGGCTGGCCTTCCACATTGTGTTAAGCCAGAGTTTTCAAACCATAGTTTAAATCAAAAGCAATCAAACTAATTTATGACTTATAAAACGTAAACCCAGCCTTTAATTACTCTAACCCAGCTAGCAGTTGCAGAAAGCAGGTTAAAATATGTTTAGAATAGACTATAGCTGAAACTCTCTAGGCAGATTTCAAAATAGAACAAAACCTTGAATTATAAAAAATAGTAAGAAATAATAGGACACCTACAAAAGTTACTTTTCAGCCTATTCAGTTTGTTCAGGCTCTTTGTTGTGCAGGAATTTGAAATTATTTGTTCAAAACCTTTCCCCCCTTACCTTTCTTTCACATCCCCAAGTGAGCAAACTCCTGCTATTTTCTGTAACAACTAATTTCCTTCAATCCCAATGCAAGAAACCTACATTTCATGATGTCCTCTATTTTTTAACCCAGTTAAAACACTAATATGCTTGCTTTCCTTGCTACCACACCTGGCCTATAAAAGGGAAATATTGGTGCATCTACTTGATTTTGGCTGAAATCCCATACAGTCCTCTCAATGAGGATTATTTTTATTAATAATTTGGATTGCCTTGTGAAAGCATACTTAGGCAAAGCTGGCTTGTTGCATTTTTGGAGAAAGTGTAGATTGAGTTGAATGTGCACTTCAGAATGCACAAACAAATGTCAGAATTCTGGCAAGGAAAGCAAATAGTAGAGGACACATCAACTTTCTGGATGCAGCTTTGCAAGATTTGCCCACAAGCACATCATGGCACTACATGTCTAAAATCCTTCTATTACTGCAGAGTTATTCTTGTTTATAACTCTGAAGAATTATTGTTTAAAAATCATATAAGGAAGTGAATATAGAACACTCTTAAGCTGAGCTTCGTGTTCTATTACAATAAAAGTTTTGGACTGTGGTCTTGTGCTTCATAAGAAGGTTCCTTTGTCTCATAGATCTTGGGTAATCTTAGGCATAATATGGGAAAGCATTTCTTATATATTTTATATTAGAACACACCATCTTCCACACACCATCTCTTTTTATCTGCTTTTCTATAAAAGAAATGGATGGTACCAACCTTACTTGTTGAGTGTTTGGAACTTTTTGTCAAAGAAGAGTTCTATATAATTCAGCATTTTCTGTTTGTACCATTTGAGTTCTAGAGTCTACAGGTAGTCCTCAACTTATGATTCGTTTAGTGACTGTTTGAAGTTACAACAGCACTGAAAAAATGACTTACAACCAGTCCTTGCACTTATGACCATTGCAGTGTCCCCGCAGTCACGTGTTTGTGATTCGGGCGCTTGACAACCGTTGCACATTTACAATGGTTGCAGCATCCTGTGGTCATGTGATCGCCATTTGTGGCCTTTGCAGCTGGCTTCCAACAAGCAAAGTTAGTGGGTAAGCCGGCAGGGAAGGTTGCAAGTCGTGGTCATGTGATGTCTCACTTAACAACTGTAGTGATTCACTTAACAACCAGCAAAAAAGGTTGTAAAATTGGGTGCAGTCAGGTGATGCCTCACTTAATGACCGCACTGCTTAACGATGAATTTTCTGGTCTCTATGGTGGTCATAAGTCAAGGAGTACCTGTATATAAAATTTAAGTATTTGCCTGTGCAATTCTCTGAATATCTCAAATTGCTGCGAATCTGTTCAAAGCAAATGCAGAACACAGAAATGCCACACCAACTTTTAGCGACCCAACACCACTGAGTTAAAAGTATGAAGCTGTATTTCATAGAAGAAACAGTGGCTATTTCTGAGAATTAACATCAGCTCAGCTACATATCAAATAAAGGGTGAGTTACAGACCAATTTATCTTATGCCGTCTCATTCCTCTGTAAAAGATATAATACTTTTGCAGAATGATTCAGCCAACCAACAAGGTCATGGTTTCAAAATTTATCTCAAAAAAGCCTGGGAGAAAATGAAGATGTGCATCTGGAAGATAGCATATACTTTAAAAGTACACTTTTAAACAATTATTTTTATATAATAAATAACATTTGTTTATAATATGCATGCTATCTTTTACATTTCTATATTTGGTTCTATCCCAAATTCCCCACAATACTTTTGGTAATCTCTGCATATTTTCATTTTTATAATTGTGTTTTAATGAGCTACTATCCTGAGATAGTCCTCTTTTGAAGACAGTGAATCTGCAAATAATTGTGTGTTGAATTACAAATTAGATAAGGCAAATATAGATAGGTTAATCAGCCTCTTGTAAAACTGCATCAGGGAGGACGCTGATAAGATATAGGACTTTTCTGCTTCTGGGGGGGTGAACAGATATGAGTTATTATAAACTTATTCCTCAGTATTTGAGTACTCTACATTGTTGTACTGTGTTTTCTTTTTTTTATCTTTAAACTTGTTACTATTGGAGGTCTGCATACTTAAAGTCAGACATGATTGGGGCACTATACAAGTCTAGTGAAATCATCATCATCATCATCATCATCATCATCATCATCATCTTTTTCATTAAATAGACAAGGTGGGTATGTTCATAGCCACATTCTTAGTACACAGTGAGGCAATAGTGAGGACTAATGAGTTAGGGAAAGTCAGGCCAAACCTTGAATTAACTGTGTGCCATAGACAAGAACTGGGGTCAGGGGTCCCTATGGGGGAGGCTGGTGAGCACATGTGAAACTTTGAAAACACTGAAGTGTGGATACTCTGCTTCTCTATTCACAAAATGGTTGAAAGAAGGGGCATAATCAGTTACAAATTTCCAATTTACCGGAATATTACTTACCATGCACAACGGCATGTCTCCTTGCTGTAGGATGGTCTCTATTATCTTTGCTTACCTGTTTTTTATTTTTTTTTATGGGCAGGTGGGCATGCTTCCAGACAAAGCACTTGTGTATATCTACTCTTTTTTATTTTCTGAAGAAGCTTATATGGATGAGACAATTTAATTACAGGTTTAATTTCTCTGGCTGCCCACTAGTCCATGACTCTGCATTTTGGAAATGTAGTGTACCAGCTTCCCATTTTTTTTATTACAATAAATTTTTGAAGAAATATAAAATTCAAGTAGCGCATGAAGTTTGGAAGACACGAATGAAGAGATCTCTGTGCTGACTCATGTCTCTGAGTATCATGTTGACATCTTGGGATTAGAATGTTCCTTAACTTTTTCTGCAATGTTTTGGGGTCCCAAAGAGTTGTTTCTTGGCATATATATTTTACATATAGTCATTCATAACTCTCATGTAAGTTTTCATGTAAATCTACAGAATTTAGAAACACAGTTAAGACTGTAATATAATATACACTGAATTGGGAATAAGTTCCATTGTATCCAGTGGGGCTTCTTTTGAGTAGACATACACAGTATTGCACTGTAAAGCAAATAATAATCTAACATTACATAGAAGGAGGTTCCAGTTTAAAGACTACAACAACTAAAGCTAAGTGAGGGACACTGTTCACATAAAGTGGTTTTCTACATTGGGGAATTTTCAAATAATTACATTGGGTAGTTGAAACTTTCAAATGACTTAATCCTAAGTAAGTCACTGTTTAAAATTAGCTGAATCTATGCCAATAATGTAAGCTACAGATGAATGCTAGAAAAAAATCTATCTCCGTAATTCCAAAATATCTCTTATTTGTACATTTTGAAGAGACATCAGTATTCAGCTAATGAAATAGCTGTAATTTCATCTTTCTGCTTCCCACTACTGATTGAAAGAGTAGATTGGATTAGAGTTATGGCATTATGGAGTGTGTTTGCATGCAGGTTATGTGCATGAAATAAGACAATCTTTATTTGCATGTGGGTAGTACAATGTCTGAAACGGGTCTGTTCTGTGATGCTGTCAGCTATTTAATTCAATGTAACTCAGCTAACAGGAAGGAATTCTAAATTTCTTCAGTGTAGAAGTATGCTTTCCCATTGTATCATTTATGTAACATTTTGAATTTTATAAACCCTTTGACAGAAAGTGTTGTTTAAATCAATCTACCTTTCTGTACAGAAACAACAGAATGACAACCTATTGATACCTTCTAGTAATAATTAAAATCACAACTGTATACTTGTATGCATAAGAAATGTAATAATGAATATGTCACTGAGTGCATTTGTACAAGGTACAGAATGATGTAGAAAAGACATGGACAAAAACAGTTACAAAGAGGTAAAAGCATAAAACTGCCTTATGGAAGAGATATATATATATATACAGTATATATATATACACATATATAATCTAGAAAAAATATATGCCCAATATAGAAAATAAAATAAGCAAAACTCAGTTTTATAAACAGAAGCCTGGCCTGCAAGCAGAAATCATTTGATGTGGAGACACCATCAAGAGTGACAGCAAGGATTCAAAAGGGTAGTTTACAAGCTGATCAAAATCCATTTTATAATGCTTTCATTAATGTTTTTGTAAAGTTCTTTTAAAGCAATGTCCTTCAGAATTGGAGCATGGATAGGAAGACTGGTAGATTATGCAAGGGAATAATGAAATAAGCAAATAAGATTGGATATATCCTCACTGTTCCTACAAATGTGAACACAAAATGTGTTCAACAAATATGAAAACAAAGTGTCCAAACAACAGCTTCCTAGTAGATACAGGAAGTTCAGCTACACTAAAGGTATCTTTGGTAGAAGGTAAGCACCTGCATATGTTCAGATATCTCCAAATTGTAGAATCAGAATAAATAATGCAAATTAGACAAATCTACATAAATTAATTTTGGAATATTTATTCTGAGTGTAAAATTTGGAATTTTCTGTCAGGGATAGGACCTAGTATTTTGGAAGGCATACATAAATGAATAGAAACTGGAAAGAAAAACCTAAAGGAGGAGAAAGAGTATTACAGTTTTATCAGATTCTTGCTGAAAGCTGCTATATTCTTCTCTATTATCATATCCAAGAACTATATATCTTGTTCTTAAGTAATATATAGATTTTACAGGGACAATACCAACTTTTCAGTAGAATCATAGGTGATATTAATTTTCTGATCCCCTAAGAGCAATTGCGAATAAAGAAACTGAAAGCATCTAACCCCAAAAAGATAGGTTGTTTGGATGACAAAGATCCAGTGCAGATAACTTTAAAAAATTATAATTTGGACACATAAATGGATTGTGAGTTTTTAAAATTTCATTCTCTATTTTTAGACATATCTCTTATTGGTTATGCAATTTTCTGCTTCTCAGTAGAAGTGGTATAATTCACACCAGGCCTAGTATGTTATATAAACTCAGACAATTGTTCTTTATTCAATAAATAATGGTTAAACAAGCTGTAGTTTTTTGCAGTGTGTGAACCTAATAAATGAAAATAAAAGTCTCTTAAATTGCCAAATTCCCTAAGACACACACACAAATGAAATATTTCCCTTTGGCATAGTAGCAGTTTCCACATGTCTAAAACAGTGAAGGTATGGAAAATATTCAAGCCTGAGGACTATCTTAGTGTCTAATATAAATGAAACATCTAAGTCCATATAAGACTTAAATATAGTTACATCTTGAGTTGTTCATAAGGAATGTCTACATCAAGTGAAGGACTATCCAAGTCTGGGAATGTTGCTGCTTCACCATTGTCTACATTAATTTAATGATTCTTTATTCCATGTCTCCTAATAGAGGGAAAACAAGAGCAGAAACAAACAAAACTGCATATCAGGAGAAATACTCAGCTAAGACACATCTATTTTTATCTGACCTGAAATAAAGCTCATTATGGCAAACTATTTGAATGGAGGCTGAATACTGAGCAGTGACTGCAGCTCTCAAAACAGATCCCATAGAACTGCATCTGAGATCTCTTTCTTAATAGAGCATCGGAGCAAGTATTTTCATTCACATCAAAGGCAAGAATAGTGTTTAGTTCGAAAGGCACAGCATCCATCTTCCTACCCAAGGCGTTCTCCATCTGTTCCACAGGAATCATCCTTGTGGTTTCTTCTAGGACAAAAAGGACGTATTCTTTGCTGAAGAGGTACACTGCTACATAAAGAGAGGAGGTTGCATCTCTCAGCAGGGTGTCTCCATCACTGGCTCCCCCTTCAGCATTGGTCTGAAAAGAATGAAGCATGAAGGAGGGAGGGACTGGCGCCTTCAGTTGGTGGAGTGCAGCTGCCTTCCTCAGACTGTTCCGATAGTTCCCCATATTCACTATTATAAAAAGTCTGACCTCGGAGCTGTGATTGATACAATGGCCGACATCTGCCCCTCAGGTTGGACTGATCCACTGTTGGGTCTGCATTTTGACTGGATCCTTTACTACTGCTGGAGAGAAGAAAAAAGCCAGGAAGTCAGTCCCAACGAAGACATATTTTAATTTAAGTTTCCTCAAAAAGCTTCTGAGCAGCAGAAAGATCAAAACAAGGACAAGCCATTTTGCAGATCGGTTGGTTTGGAAGATGTATAAACTTAGACAAGAAAAAAAAGGCAGTGTTACAAAGAGAGCAGAACTTTCCAATGAGAAAATGAAGATGATGAGCCAGAATGGTAGGTTTTATGTAAAACTTTAAGGCCCCAGTCAGGATTTTGAGTAGATAAAAGTATACCAGTCTGTTTATTTCTTTCCCACCTAGGGTCTCAAAGCAACATTCATGGTAGTCCCATCTCTAATGTTACTCTCACAAAATCAATCAAGTGTGCAAGATAGATGGAACTGAGAGACAGTAACTGGCCTAAATTACCAGTGAGCTTCCAATGGCTGAGTGTAGATTTGGATGTCCCAGTTCCTAGTCCAGCCCTCTAATCACCTTGGCACATTTGCTCTCAACCCAAGTATACCTTCTAGGACATGCTTCTCTAACTTAGGTTTCTCTGGATGGGTTAGACTTCAGCTTCCATAATTCCTGCTTAGATTGGCCTTTGTGTGGGACTGAGTCCAAACCAATGTAAACCGCAGACATAAAATATATAGCCTTAAATGGTTTGGGGCCAGGTTACTTGAAAGTCTTCTGTCACCCACAGTGGCCTATACATACTGTGAGCCCAATTGGTGAAGTGATAGTCACTTATCTATTAGGAATGACAACCACGTTGGTCAGCATAAGAGCTATGGGAGAGATTGCCATTTAAGGTATATCAGGCCCCTAAAAAAGCAATTTTTCCATGTATTTTATTAAAATGGCTTTTATGGATCATACATACTTATCTACATAACTATCGTATTTTAGTTTGGGTGATCAGTGTTACTCAGAGCACAGAAAAGTGCCAAGAAACAGTCAAAGAAATTAAAGGCATGAGGTAAAAGAAGAAAAGGACTCATATCAAAAATAGTTTACATAAACACCATTTATATACCTCTCCATATTCTTGCAAACCATCTTTGCTTCTACCATGTCCATACGGATTTATACATTGCCTTTGTTTTTTAAAGTTTGCAATTCTCTCTCTTTGAGGATCTCATCAGCTCTATCCAACTACAACTTTATGAGTTTTCCCTTTCCTCTTGATGACTTGAGACTCCAATGAGTTTTCCTTCGTATATTCATGTGGCAATTTGGTCCTCATTCATTCTGTCTGTATGACCAAACCACCTCAATATACTATTTTCAACCTGGTCACTTTTGTATTCAAGCCATATTCATTCTGAATTCTATCTCTTTTTGTTTTACCATATACAGTATGCTGCTTAGGTATCTTATTCTCACTGCATTCATCTTAATTTTATGTTTCCCTGCCATACACAACACTCACTCCCATATTACAAATATATTTGCTTCTTTTAACAAATGCCACTTGTTGCAATAGGCCATGTTCTACCTACTACCTTTTCATAAGCGTTTTTACATCTTAAAATTCTCCATCCATTTCCCAACTTTAGTAAATAGTCTATCATGTAATACAAATCCCTCCACTTCCTCTAGTTATTTGCCATTTATGTGGTAGTTCACAAACACAATTATGTTGATATTTGAGATGTTAATTGTCAAATCCATAAGCCTTGTTGTGTCATACAGCCCTATCTAATATTCACTGCAAATCAAGTGATTTCTCAGTCAGTAACTGGCATCATCTGCATGCAAAAAAACATATATTCATGTCCCCAACCAACACATGTTTAACATCATCACAAGCATCCCTTATACATTTATGCATATAAGCAATATCACACATCCTTCTCTTACTCCTGCTGAATGTTGAACTATTTGTGAAATATTCCATTTATTCTCACTTATGGTTTAATATAATCTTATACTGTTCATCACATTCGACAGCCAATTCCATATTTCAGCAAAAACATCCCATAATTCAGACCTAATCACTTTATCACATGCTTTCTCTAAATCATCAACCTTACCATAAACTTTCTTTCTGACATGCATACATTTCTCAATGACCTGGAAAGAGCAAAAATCTGCCTATACATTCCCTGACCACCATAAAGCTGCACTGCACATCACAAACTTTGCTCATTGGCACAGCTATGCCATAAGCAAACCAAATCTATACTTGAATATTTCTCCAGTTACATCAATGTCAGCTGCAGCCTTAAGCTATATTCTCACAGCATTTATGACTTTCTTTTCATCATTTTCGGAGAATAAGATTTATAGCATTTCAGTTCCACTCTTCAACATGTCACAATCATTTCTATAAACATCTAATCCCATAATTTTTATCTCTTAACTCCATGCATCCTACTAGAGGTTGCCTTATTTAGCCCTTTTCACTCACTATTGTTTCTTTCCATCAACATCAATCTGCATTTTCTTTCTCTCTCTCTTTTTTTTTTTACTACATCTTCACAATAGTCTTCTGTCCATGTTATACCATAAATTTCATCCTCATTTTTTTTGCAGCAGTCATTCTTTTATATGCATGCTTTTTTCAACTGCAGGCTCTTTCACTTCACCATTTCACCAAATGTCCTTCTGCACACTTCCCATTATCGTAACACCATACACTTCTGTGGCACTCTGTAATGTAATGTTTTTCATTATTTTTTGATTTTATGGTTTTATGTTTTGTGATTTTATAGTTATTGTTTTATTGTTGTGACCCACCCAGAGTTGTGTTTAAGATGGGCAGGCATACAAATCTTTTAAGTAAAATTCTGTTCCTGGCAGCTTGCACATCCACGTTCCTTACATCCACTATCCACTATTGGGAGATTAATGTATCTTCTGATATTTTTTGATACAAGACTCATATCTTCTCCTTCCTGCAGTCAATCTACTTTCTACTTGTTTAATTTTACTTTGTTCCTTTTCCCAAGATCCACCCTTGACACTATCAAAAAATGACCTATCCATATTCAGCAGCTCTTATCAGTCTTGCATAATTTACTAATTCTCTCAACCTTTCATCATAATCAATAAAATCATATCTTTAGATTTATATTCATCCCCTTGCCATCTGTACATATGGACTTATGCTTAAGCTACATATTCCAAACACTTTTTTCCCTAAGCAGATACTTATCAATCACCATTCTATTCATTCTTAGGTATCTAAATGGCCCAGTCACTTTTTCTGTATTCTGTATTCTGTCATTTCATTTCTCTATCCCCTCATGTTATCTAGCAGAATAATTTCCCTTTAGATTGCATTCATTCAGACTACTGCACATTTTTCTCCAAACCCATATTTTTTACATTCATTTTAGTCCTTTAATTTATAATTAAACTTACAATTTAACTTCCTTTTAATAGTAATTTTATTAAAAATTACAATTACAAAGTAAAAACTATTACAAAATAACAAATAAAAGAATAAAAAGAGAAACAGAAAGTACAGAAAAGGAAAACATACAGAAATAGAAAAAATAAGAATATAGTAAAGAAAAAAATATAAAGAAATTACTTCCCCTTTTATCACAAGTATAAACAATCTTAGTAACTTATCACCTTCTCTTAAAATACAACAAATAATCTCTTCTACCCATAACCCATCTCTTATCTATAAACAAATCCCTAAAGCCTTGTCGTTTCAGTCCTGATCAGCAAAAGCCCATTAAGGGTTACCAGAGATAACAACGTATCTATTTTAACTGATCAAAAAAATCAACTTTATATTCCATCCTTTTGCTTTTAACAACATTGACCTTTAATCCCTTCAAATAATGTCCTAGAAGATTTCTTCTTGATTTCTTTTCATTTTTTCTTCATCCCTTCTCAGAAAATTCTTCAAAGCTTTAACAAGCCTCTTTTATAAATCCAGTATAGGAAAATTATCCAGGTCACTCTCTTGATTTGTTATTTGTATATCCCTTTTAATTATTAAGACATCAGCCAATTTCTTTTGTATGTCCAGTATAGCACCTTTTTCCATATCATTCTTGTAGCCTATCATTTTTAAATCCACGCTCAGATCAGTCTCAATCTTGTCAGGTAAAACTTGTTCCTCTTTCATAACATCTTTTAAACATAGTCTGTCTATAGAGGCAGACACCTCAGATCAGTCTCAATCTTGTCAGGTAAAACTTGTTCCTCTTTCATAACATCTTTTAAACATAGTCTGTCTATAGAGGCAGACACTCTTAAAATTAACTTTTGGGTCCGTTATTCAAAAATATCCTTCAGTATGTCCAATGTTAAAATATTTTGCTTAATTCTGTATTAGTAAGTCAAATTTTAGTGTTCTTCTCCTTTAATTGTAATCCTTAGTTCCTTCTGGTTCCCTCTAGTGTCCAACCTTCAAAGTCTCATCCTGTC